TACCTCCTTCTCCACCCCTTCTTCGCATCCTCTCGTCCCAATCCATAATATAAGGGTAGCTGGGTCCAGGTCGCGGGGCAATGTGCATTTGTTGGAAAAGATACTCAAAGGATTGATTGGTGTAATTAACCCCTCGCCCAATATTATCCAAGTAGTGTCGGTACTCCACTTGGTTCCAACCCTTGTTATCCTCCACCGGAATAACCGGTGGGTCTTCCCGTACCCGCTCGCTCCTTGGCTTAACCCGCCTTCCCGGCTCCTCGGGGACCGCCGGCTCATCCTCATTCGGGATAGTAAAGGAATCACCAAAATTTTCAACTATCCGAGCGCTCCTATAAAGTGCAGTGTTGAACGGAGGAGGGTGGATAATTGTTAGCGCTTGAGCTTGCAGAAAATCCAAGATCCCAAACGCTTTCGCAAGCCAAGTAATGAACATGCCCCCATTTATCTTCGAGTTTACCTTCTCCTTGACCGCCCCATCCGCAAGAAATTTAGCAATGCAGTACGGAAGGTTGCAGAAGACGTCGGGAGTGATGATACTCCATAAGTAAAAGATATCAAGCGTGGGAACTTTGTCCCCATCCTTCCGCATGTTGATCGTGCTTGCAACGAACCGGTGAATGAGTTGGTGGATCGGAGAATGGATATGTCCTTCTTGAGCAGTGGAAGGTATGTAGACTCGGTTAGCAATTGTACTCCACCATGTCGATGCCACCACCTCCTCGGGAAGTTCTTTGTAGGTATTCTCCAAGAAGGCTTCAAAGTAATCCGTCATCGCCATGTCTTGATCGTAGATGCCCAACCGCCAAAAGAATTCAACCATGCTGCATTGTCGCAGCTCCCCACCCAAAGAAAATGAGATCGTGTTAGGATTGTAAAACTCACTACCACCTCGGAATGAAATGGTAGCAAAGAATTCCCAGCACAACTCCGCGTATACTAGCTCTTGGATTTTGAACAATTGCAACCAACCATCACAACTGATGTTGGCATAACCCAAGTTACAATCTTTCACCAAATATGGGGTGAGTTCCTCTTCCAAGCCAACATTGCCCATCCATCCCCAATCCACTGCATTCGGTAGATGGATTTCTTTCTGTCGAAGTGCTTCTAACCTGTTTAGGGCTCGAGTTTTGGAGGATTTAGAGGTGATTTGTTGAAAGGCTAACCATGGCATATCACCAAGGCCTCCCCCACGTGATGATTGACCTCTTCTTGCCATGCTATCTGCATACACATATCAAAAACACAGCAACAAACAACACCCAGTAATTAAAACAGGAAAATTTATGATCTGACTGTGACCTACTCGCCGAGTACACGAACATACTCGCCGAGTAGTAAGTATGAACTTCTTGACAGATCGAGATCGGATCTGTGTAATCTGTGCAATAGTCCAAATTGTTCATAGGGTTTTGTTGTAATTACTTATCTAACCATAGATCTTGAAGAAATTACTCCTAACAACATCTAATTCATGAGTAAATCAAAACCCTAAAAATTGGGAAAAACTCCCCAAATCCGAAATCACATCAAATATGGGTAAATCTGTGACAAAGATTGAACCTTTCATGAAATTAAAGGGTAAAGATGTTACCTTGTTGCTTGAATGAAGAGAAAAGAGTAGAAGTTTTGAGAGTTCTTGAAAAATGCTTAGGGAGGCGGCTGAGAGGAAGTGCTCGGCGAGTGTTGGGATGAATTGGTGAATAATAACAATTTTTACAGGTTTTATTTTACTGGTTTGAACCGGCTACTCGCCGAGTAGAATGGGTCTACTCGCCGAGTAGACACGCGTGTTATCAACTTTTGGCTGTAAGTGGGCATTTACTTGCCGAGTATAGTTGATATACTCGCCGAGTAGATGTCACAGGTTGAAAAAATTTGTAAATTTGCCAATTTTACTATATGAATTCATTTGTTTAGGCCTTCCACCCCACACTCAAAGCATAGCTTGTCCTCAAGCACTTAGAGACATAGAATAAACGAAGAAGAATGAAAAAAAAACAATATGAAAAATAAAGAAAAGGAAAGAAAACGCAAACTTGAAACTCGGGCTTTGCCTCCCGAGAAGCGCTTCTTTTGATGGAGTCATTAGCTGGACTCCGCCCCGTCTACGTGTTTGCAATTCTGCCACAGTAGCAGGTCCTCCAATCCTTCATTTCGGGGACACCTTCTTCATATTTCTTCACTCTATGACCATTGACTTTGAATGGTGTGCCGTCTCTTGATATCAATTCTATAGCCCCGTGAGGAAACACCGTCTTGACCAAAAAGGGACCATCCCACCTTG